GGCATGAACTCTCTTCTCAGTCAAAGAGACCGACTCCGTTTCGGGCGACTCCGTCGGCACGACGTTTCGGCACGGCGCCTCGGGGCGCGGCACAGGTCCAGCGCCGGTGAAGATGGAGCGCGCCAGGTCGCGCCAGAGCAGCGACTGCGAGCGGGACGGGACGGGGCGGGACGGGCCGCGGTTTCCAGGAGGGCGGAGGCATCCCCGGGTGGGAACACGGGAGGAACAAGCTTCGTGAGGCACCAGATCCGGGTGGGTGAGGGAGACCCAGAAGTGGGTGAGGGAGACCGAAGTGGATGATGACGCGTCCGGGCGATGAGGTGGAGAAGTAATGAGAAGTATGGACATCAACGGATATCAACACTGTTCGGTTGGCACTCCTCCACCACCGTACTTCATTTACTGAGAGTAGCTTGCTCCAAGAAAAAAGACAAAAACACAAAAACGACCAAAATGACCCTGACGCAGCTGCCCAACAGTGAGGCAAGTCCCATTGAGCAACCTGCACATGGCTCCATGAGTGCAATCTGATTCAACCATTACATCAATCACCCATCGACCATGGTGCTCAGGTTCATCAGGTGTTCACAGGTCTGACCAATCGCGTCAAAACCACCCAGGCCCACCACCGCAGGTCACGACACCTCCACTCGACCGCGTTGGTTCGGTGTGGCGAAGGCGATGTAGTGCCGCGCCAGGAAGAGCTCCTTCAGGGCCGCTCTGGGGAAAACGCTCCGGGCGGACGCTCGGGGGCGAAGCATGTGACCCGAGGACATCGTCTTCTTTTTGTTGTGTTCCGTGTTTGGAGGCTCTATAAACAGCTGGTGTGCAATCCTTTCGGAATGGGTTACACCAGAGTGGGGTAAGTTTCAGGCAAGCTGCCGTGTCGCCGTGTCGAAGAGCACCAGCCGGTTCCGGTTTTGACACCAAAACGCGGGGTTGCATCCGGGTGTTTTACTAAAAGAATGTGTGTGTACCTGTATACAGTATATGCGTGTGTGTATAGGTGTGCGTGTCAATCACATAAACACGCAATAACACACACACATACTCCCCCTCCAACAATCGTCGAAGGGGGGCAGGGCCCGTTGGGAGACGATTTTCCGAATACCAAGAAGAGGTTGACCACTTCCATGATGGTCGCAGCGAGAGCAAATGATTGGGAAGCCCTTGAAACAAATCCGCTTATCAAGCTGCTTTGTTGTGCTGCACGCATAAAGTTTGCTGTGCCATGATTGATGCTTGTACATCAAAAGTCCTAGCAAAAAATCAGCTCCAAGAACCTGCTGTGGACATGTCTAAACTTCAGCCAACCCAATGGGCAAACCCTCTGACCCCCCCAAGCTGCGACGGTCCTGCCACACACCTTGGCTGGCGGCCGCCGACACTGAGCAGGTGCAAAGGGCACGGCCAATCTGCAGCAGTCGAAGTGTGCGGCAGGCGGCAGAAGTCGCTACGAGCCCTGGACATCCAGTCGTACCTTCTCAGAAGGTGATTGGACGTATGTAGGTGCCAGGAGGGTCCAGTCGTACCTTCTGAGAAGGTACTTGGATTCCATAATTACAAGTAGGGCAGAATTCTGGGTCCCAGGCCATTCTCCCACCACAGATCAAACAAATTGGGGCTGGAGTTGCTTACATTGGGGTCATATACTCATGGGGTAGATGGGTAGATATATATTTTGTTTATGATAAGTATCACACACATGGTCTGGCCAATCAATCTTCAACGTTTGCGGAGGGAGCGGCCCTTTTTGAGGGGCTGAAAGGCGCACAGAACACGACGCGGCCCTTGGAGTCAGGAAGGCGGGGTGATCCCTATCCTGTTCCGGACGTGCCCGGAACGAAGGAACTCCGTGGGCCGTCGGAGCTCCGTGGGTTCTGAAGAGAACATATATAAAATATGTATGTACATATTACAAAGATATACAAAGTATATATTAGATATATATATATTACATGAATTTGCAGTCCCCCCCAACCAAACTCAGCCGTATTTCCACTAGTTTGCTCACAACTACAACTGTCTGACCTTTTGCGCGTTCCTCCCTCCCCACCCGCCTCCCGAGCACCCAAGCAGGGCAACGCCGTTGGAAGCCACTCATCCATCGACCCAAACAGTACGAGGCCGAACGTTCGGTCTCGGTGGATTTTCGGTCTCGGTGAGTTCGGCGATGTGCATCGTTGGCGATGGTTGGAACGCGCAAGGTGGTGCTGTGGTGGCACTTGGAGAATTGGTGTCAAATAAGAGGTCTGACTCTAAGAGGCTGCAAGTTTGAGAAAACTGGACTTGTTGGTGTTTTTGGTGTATCAATATCCCAGAATGAGGCTGTGCCCCCTGCATCTTAGCTTGCCATGACGTTGTGAAGGAAGTTGGGCAAACTCCCAGTGCAATCCTCAGGATCTAAAAACAGCTTGGAAGTTGATGGAATAATCATGACTCGAACCCTCAAGACATTGATGACACATATAAAAATGACAGGGCATTCCGTATCTTGCATGATTCACTATCGTTGTGTGTATTTACATGACTGGTCACCGTCAAGAGCACACATAACATAGTCACAAATGCACCAAGATGCAAACGATTACAGTAATATGTTCCTGTGACCAACTGAGTTGACGTTTCAATAATGACCAACTGCACATGTCTTTTCCACCTATATGTCAAATGTCCTCCTGGCTTGTCGGGAAACTGCAGTGGCAGGCAGCGAGCACAACAGGGGGTTCAACTGCAAGACTCATGAGACCTTTACAAACAAAAGTGAACCATGAGACAAATGCCTATAAGCACTGCATATATATAGCATACTTGACAGCTTTGGGGGGTGGTTGAAAAAAGGGGGGTCATAGAGTAAGTTAATTAACATAATTAACATACACCATGGAGTGTTGGGATAGTACGAACCAGAATACTTCAGAAGCATGATCGAAGATCTCCAGTCATCCATGAATCTATGGGATTCCGTTGGAAGAATCAACACTTCACCCATGGCCTGCTGGACACCGCAGGCCTGGGACGAAGCCAAAACTATGCAAAACCCATGGTGAAACGCTGCTGTCAGACGCAGTCGTCAGGCCTCGACTATCTCCCCTACTTCGGCTCGGATCCCTCATGTTTCTACCCAAGTTGCCAAGGCATGAAACCACCTAACCAAACAAAAAAACTGGCTATGTACTTCACCTTTCAAATCCCCAAACATCCCACCAACTTGGCCGCATGTTTGGCTTGCGTGCGACGGCTGCGTCGACGCGCCGCCGCGGCACCTTCTGCCGGACGGGCGCCGAGGGTAGAAATCGTCGGATCACCGTGGAGAGCAACGGAAGGATGTCCTGCGCTCTGCATCGCGCGCCGCGGACATCGGTCCGGGTGGGTTTCGGTCGGTGTTGGATGTGTTGGGTGACCCAAGGAGCCTGGCTCTGAGAAGGGGAGCATGTCCTGCTCATTTGAGACAATTGAGACAACCGGACCAAGGAAACCTGTGAAGGAAGTCACTCAGGGTAGGGATGTAAACTCTATATTTGAGTTGGGAAAAACACAACTCCTCCAAAGACTTGTTTGTCACGTCACGAGGCTCCAAACCACTCGAACAAACATGAACAAACATAATGACACCATAATTACACCCAACTCCCCGCATTGCTAAGGCCTTCGGCCCCTTTAATGCCGTGATGTTTTATTGTTTTTCATGTCCGGGCCATATCAGTCGACGCCTCGAATCGAGTTTTACAAGTGGAGCTTGTACCCTGATCTCGAGATTCAGTCGAGAAGTAATAGTACACGTAGAAATAATATATTAGTAAAGACACATATGAAATATTTTGAAATCATATGAAGAGGTATGGGGGGCGTATTCATCAAGAGTCTACATGACATGTCTGAACATGTATGATCAAGCGGTAACACCACAGAATCTGTTGGTGGGACCAATAACTTATAGGAAAACACGTTGGAACATGGTGGATCAAATTATGACTCATGAAATCACCAAAGGGAACAATCCAAAGCCGAGGCCGTGACCATGAAGTGCTGCCCCTGCTCGGCAGGCTCTTCGATGATCTGCATCTTCCTGAGGCCGAGGCCTTTGGACCCAGTTAGGGAAATCGGAGGCCGACAGCGGGGGGGGCAAAAGCTGGCGGCCCAAGTGGACGGTGTTTAACAGCACCAAACGACCTGTATGGGACTGGCATATTCTGTAGAGGTGGTTGAAATCGGGGTGAAGGCAAAGATTCATGGAGTGTGATATGGACCCCGACTTCAGCCATCCCAATGCAAAATAGTCCCAATATGTCCCATAATATAATAGTGTCTGGAATAGTAATAAAAACATATAAAACCTTGTTTGGGGGGGTCTATGAACACATGCGCAGTCTACTCACATCATAGTCTTGAAGATCCCTGGCGTTTGCAGTTGAAGAACTGTTGCGGTGACTCTACAGGAGTTCCTCTCCCAACACTCTACTGCGCTGCGCCGAAACCTTGTCAGTTGGCATCTCAAAGAACATCAGGAGGCCATGAGATGACATCAGGCTGATCCCTCAGACTCAGGCTGATCCCTGAGACTCAGGCTGATCCCTCAGACGGATGAAAACATGTATGTTCTTTTTGCTGAATCCCAAACTGTGTAATAACTCTCAGTCTGATCAAACATCAGGCTGGGATCGGTGTTGGGCCTTCCAGGTGCCATCCGTCGTCGCGTGAACACCTGACCAGTCCACGACCAGACTTGCAGGTCCAGGGACCATGGATTCTTCTGCAGCCGGAGTCTGTGGAGCCACTTGGACGTCCGGATTCCAATGGATTTCGGTCAGCCGATCTGGAAAACACACGAACGATCTTGGTTTGGTCAATCACCAGAGTCTGTTCACATCACGGTTTTCTCAGTAAGGATTCTGCAGCGGATTGAGAGTAGATGGCGCAATCCCCAAGGTTTGGAGGTGTATACGGACCCCCCCCATCTAAAAGACATCTATGCCAATGCACTCTGAAACCATGGTCAATCATGGAGTCTTAATCCCAACTGGCCGGTCTTTGCAGCAGGCTGCCACTGTCCCAACTGGCCCAACTGGCCGAAGCTGGGCCTTCCCCTGTCCCAACTCCTCTGGGCTTCCCAAGCCAAGTGGTGCCTGAACGCACCATGGCGGCCACCACATCCACACCGGCCTTGCTCCTGTCACACATCACTTAGGTCTTGCCAAAGTGCCCTAAGTAATGATCCCAAGAAAGGGATCGAGCATGATCCAAGATGGGATCAAAACAGGGATTATGGATCTAACATGATGTTTAACATGATTTTAATATGATCACCCCACCCCTTCACCATCTCGGCGAAGACACACACACACACACACCCATGTCATGAGTCCATTCAGCTCCTCTCCATATCGTAGACGGCCATCTCATGCACCTGCTCAGCACAGCTGGGAACATTGGGATGTGGGTCATGAATGGTCCTGGCACCAGGCAGAAAAACCACCATGGTTGACCTACCTAGAAGTACCGGTCGTTCTCTACATGGTGGACCAAGGCTACCGATTTTGACATATTTTGACGCGCGAAACGAACACCAACTTGTCGCAGCCCATGGTTTCTGTTGGACCGAAACCAGTTCTTCAAGCACCCTGTTTGATTGAAGGCGTCACATGACGTTACTTCTACAAACCCATTGCCACTCGCCACTTCGAGTCTCTCTAGCGCTGAGATCCTCTTCGAGTTCGAGCTGTTCAACACCGTCGCCTGCTTCGTCCATCCACGTCTTCCGCACCTCTCGCTCCTCAAAGACGTGCGAACGCCCATCCTTCACGTCCTGTGGAGCTCTCCGCCGGTCCCGGTCGTGGAGTGAAAAAGGCCGTTCGTGAGGAAGAGTTGGCGTTCCTCCGGCGACCTGATTTCACTCTTTTGGAGGGGTTGAGGTCACTGAGACAGGTATATATATACCTGAAACTTCCGCCTGTGCATAATTGTCGCCTCTGTGCTCCAGGGCTTGAATTTCCACCTCTAAAAAATGATTCAGCCTCTGCCTCACAGGATCTGCCTCCCACAGGTTGGCTGAAAAAGTTTCAACATGTATTTTGGTTGTTGATCATGTTGGAAGACTTCATCATGTCTTTCAAAGAGAAAGGGTTATCAAGCATGCTTGTCCCCCAATAGTTTGGAACAGACTTTGGAGGGAATGCTCATGAAACCATACTTGTCCACCACCGCGTCATGTCCACCACCGCATTCAATCAAAGACCTTCCGTTTAGATGCCATGGCGCTACATTGCTCATGAACCTCCTGGTCGCAGCTCGGTGGAAAGGTTGGTGAACCGTCCAAACACATGTCCCATGCTCCCAGATCTTTTTTCCACCTTCAGCCAGTGCTGAGCTTCCGCTTCCGATGAAAACGCATGAGTGTCATTTTTGACTTGACCTTGTATGCATGAATTGTGTTGCTAACAACGTGTTTGTGTCCAACCCTTCGGCTTTGTCTTGCTATTCTGCCGACAAAGTCTTCTGACATGGAGCAGTCATCGTTGGCAGGGTTCCAGCAGAATTCATCCAGGGAACACACAGAAAGCCGGTGCTGAACATGTGCCATGCCATGTATTTTAGGAACCTGGGCAAACAGTTGCAATCGACGTTGAAGACACACGTGTGCAAGCCAAGCGTATGAGGCAAGAAATTGCTGGCAATTCTTCTGCAGCTTGGCACGACAACAATTTGTAAGCCAAATCCCATGCCGATGTATGCCCTGGAAAGCAAGGCTTTGCTCACATCCCTGGTGGATATGGCCAAGCACCTGTGAATCTGGGCAACTCGCCAGATTGATCGCAGAGCACCACTTCAACCACTTGAGGAGAATGATGGAATCAGCCCCCTTGCAGCCAACCCATGGAAAGCTTGTTTTCGTTGCAGCGTGAAACTTCTCACGGGTAAATGCACGAATGCCTGTAACCCTGACCGAATGCGTGTCACACCACAAGGAAAACTGTGCCCATGCACGACCAAGCCTGGCATCAACCGATTTGGAATCCCCAGCAGCAAGGTCGAAAATGCCGTCCGAGGCCATCAACATGACAGCAGATGCTATGAAGTTTCTTGCAACACCCAATCGAAACAAGTGGAAGGGGTCCAGCCTGAACCATCTAGCTGCCAAACCTGAAGACCAATCCTCAAACAATATATATCGAAATGGTGGGGGGTTGTTCCATGGAGGAGAATGAAACAGAGTCCCCTTCCAGCTGGCTTGCTCTCTAACATCTTCAAACGGATGGTTGATACTGCCAGCAGCACATAGATGGCAGCAAGGTATGAAGTTTTTGTGTCCAACGTTTTGATAACTACGCGTCAGCACTCCTGTCTTTGCGTGGTACTCAAGGTCCCCCATCATACCCAGAACGGCAAAATGATAGACATCATTGCCAAGGACGATGCCACGTACTGAAAGTGTCCCCAAATCTTGTGAGATAGCCTCGAGCACAGACAGCAGAAGCCCAGGCAGCTTCTTGAACTTCTTGCTGGGGAACGCGCACAACAAGAAGTGCGTGAGATAGGTGAGGTGCTTGCTGTTCAGTTTCTGGGCCATCGGGTGGGCTGTGTCACACCCACCATAGGTTTGTTTAGGCCAACATGTGCACTGAACTGAATCCTCAATCTTCTTTTTCACGGTGTCCAAGCCCAGAACTGGATGCAAACTGATTACTTCAAGAGGCTGTTTTTTCAATGTACGAGCACCATCACCATGCACCATTAAAGGCACACAGAATCTCAAATTGACAGCACTGTCATTATCATCGGCCAATTGGAAAATCTGGTGCGTGGGATGCTCCCTTCTGTAAAGCCTCCAGAAAGTGTCTAGCATGTTTTGGGCCTCCTCTCCAGGATCCAAGCCACCAAGGAGAGTCCATGGATAGCTTCGAAGTAAGTAGTGGAGAACATCTCTGCCCCTCAAATACTCAAGGTCTGCAACTTCCCCGTTTTCCTCAAAGTGGTGCTTGCTAATTGGGACGTTCCTTGGAAACTGATGTGTTTTGATTCACACAGAACCCCCAAGAGAAAATACACAAGAAACACAGAGTGAATATGGTTTGCTCACGTAGACAAATCAAGCTTCATTTCCAAACCAAAACGCCGCGTTGCTCGTTTGTATTGGCGGGCAGCATTTGTTTTGCTATGTCCCATCATGGACTTTGTAGAAGGGTGCAGCCCACTCAGAGAGTGACCCTTCATCTCCTCCTGCAAGGCGTTCCCATGCTCTTGCAGTGTAGAAGCCGTGGCCTTGGGAGGCAGAGGGTCTACTGGGTGGGGATTGCATGTGGTTACACCTTCAATGGTCAATGCGCGCGAAAACAACATATATATAGTAGTCCAAAGGGCTCCATCAGCGATCTTCTCAACAATGTGTTCCACAAGAGGTCCAGCTGAGCTGTGGTCAGACGAATCCGGTTTAGAACCTGGCCGTGTTACACACGCTATCCAAGCCAAGCTGTGAGTCTGTGAGTGTTGCTGTGCAGCTCCTCACAAATGTTTTTTTCGAGCAGAGCCGGTCGTAGGATCTATATGCACACAATCATTTCACTGGATGTTCTGTCACCCAGCGACTCAGCGATTGCAAATCACATAACGGCACAAGGATATACCTGGACACCTTGTGAAACCCCCATCAAGCCGCTCATACTCTGCAGTGCAAGCAAAGGCACGCTTGGGATTCATGGTGCCATTGAGCTTTCCAAAGCATTTCAACACACAAAAAGATAAACCGCACTTTATACCCGTCACCTATGGCCTAACACTCCGATACATCACCTTTCTATGCAGAGAAGAGCGAATTGCCCACAAAATCACATATAGAATCTACCTACGAGGCGTCTCGTGCTTTTCCGCTTTAACTTTAGCCTTTGGCTTTGGAGCAGGGGTCCGAGGATTGTCCTTCCGATCCTGCTCTCTTTGGTTCTTCTTCAGCTGGGACTTGATGTGGGAGATGAAGGGCCTCGGATGATAGCATTTGCTGCATGTGTGTCGTGGGGTTGGCGAGCAAAAGCCACAACATACATGCATGGCATGCACTTGACCATTCAACTAGGAAGCGGACTGAGACCGTGTGCACAGATTCAACGCATCCACGCACCTTAAAGAAAATGAAGGCACGGTTGCATGTAGCTTGGACCAACACATGGGGTTATACCAAAGACCAGCAATGACTTTGCTGAGGTTCTGAGTGCTACATACCACATTTGTAGAACGGTTCTGAGTGCTACATACCACATTTGTAGAACTCAACCACTGCACCGCCTTTTAGCGCCAATCAGCAATTCCCCCAGCTGACAGACTGCAGGCAAACACCGAGCTGCACCAGTCACAAAATGAAGCTAAAAGCACAAGGACTCTCTTTTTAGGGCTTCTAGAAACCTATCCAACACGTTTTGCTTGGTCAGCTCTTCCACCTGTGACATAAGTAAAAAATGGTGGTCCTGCATGGTCCTTCCTATTCAAGGCTCCCTCCCCACCAGTGTTCGGTGCATTTCTGCAACCCGAACAATTGCAAAACTCTGAGATTAACGCTGCTTCCAGCATCATTACTAGAGATGCATCGCTGCTCATAAAAACAATCCACATTGCACTGAAGTTCTTTGACAAATAATCTTGAAACCGCTGAGCAGGATGTGCCGTGATTCCTATTTTGAAGACACACACTTGCACACCTATGTGTTCCCTAAAACCTACCACTTGCTGCTTGGCGTGGGCCAGGATTTTCCCACAGGTAGGACGGGGAATCTGAATCCTCATTGTTCTGTTGTGGATGAAGCAGCGGCGAAACTCTTCCCAGGGAACATCGTGTAGCGATGGACGACTGCGGCAAAGAGAACCTAGCAACACAAGGATGTTTTGCTTCGCACAGTCCTTGGGTGACACAGTGACACAAAAAAAGGTTGTGTGCATGTTATACACGTGATACCATCAAGCACGTTGGTACACATGAAAAGAACATATTCTTTTGAGGTCTATGAATCATCCATAGGTTTGTTCCCACTACCCAAAGCGCTCGCAGGGTTGCAGCTGGCCTGTGCAGCTTTGGGGAGAGGAGCTTCATCTAGCCGCGTTGGAAACAGTCCAGGCGATTTTGCGATAGAAGGCCTATAGAGGCTTTTCAGCAACAGAAAAATACAGTATATCACAGTATCCAGTGGAGGTTGAAAGGACACAAAGACCTGGATGTTATAGTTCCACTATGTTTTCACCTCTTCCACACATAAGATTATAAGGCCACCTTCTAGGACCAAGCGGTCGCGTTTAGATGTGTTTGGATCGTGACGGGAATGCAATCGTAGAGGAAATACCACAAACAGGAAAACTGTTGTTATCAAACAACAGGTTTCTGTTTTCTCGTCTCGCCACTCAGCTCCAGCGCAGCTTGGGCAGCACACCGCTTCTTGCCCGTGTAGGGACAAGTGTAAGTTAATAGATCCAAGAAGTCTTCCAGGTAGTCTTCCACATGTTCACGGCTTCCAGTGCACATGGTTGACCCTTTCGTTTGTAACTAAATTACTTGAGGCACGTGACAGTACCACAGTTTGAGCTACAGTTGGTGGTACTGTTTGCAAATATGGACCAGTTCAAAGTTCAGTCATCCTGAAGAAATAATATATAGATCAACTGTTTCTTTTTTGGGCATGGATCCGTTTTTGACAAGCCTGTGTTTGAGCCCACTACGGGTCCAGCAGTGAGCAGGAGCAGCTTCAAACCACCGGGAGCTTCCAAAGGCTGCCGAGGCACTGCTTCTGGGCAGTTGTGAACGACACTTTGAGCTCGTCCTGCTCCCTCAGT